GAATGAGAATATCTACAGGATAATTCCACAAGTGGATTGAAAACACTAATATTTGTAGAATTCTTTGCATTTTCTAAAGTACACAGTTGACTGGCTTCTAGTTGTCTCCACCTGTGTGCAGAGATCATGCCTACTCCTTCTATTCCTTAATTCCTTCTCTGTTCTGACTCACTAACTCTAGGAAAAATGCTCTGATCGATTTGATTACACCCACGAGAGACTCGAGACGCATTGAAAAACAGTGCTCACTTTTCTGTGCCTTGGGGGTTGAGTCCTTAGACACACTCCGTTTTTCAGGGTCCTGGGACTTTGGTCCCCAGGATCACTTGAGAAAAGAAGTGGAAACGTCATACTCTCTGTAGTACTGCCATAGACTGAAGGTTTGTGCCCCCGACTTCACAGGTTGGAGCTGTGACCTTCAGCATGACTGTTTTGGGAGAGGGGCCTCTAAGAGGGTAACCAATGTGGAATGAGGTTGTAAGGTGGGCCCCTGATTGGACAGGATTAGCATCCTGATAAGAAGAATCTCCAGAGAGCCCACTCTTCCTCTCTCCTTCCATGATCATGCAGCAGGAAAAGCCATGTGGCTTGTAGATGGCTGCAGCGAGGCTACAGGCTAGGAAGGAGCCTCCCCAGACACCCCACTTGCCAGCCCTTGGTCATGGACTTCTAGCCTCCCAAACTATGAGATCACGAGTTGCTGCTGCTTAAGCCCTGCAGTCTGAGTAAACTACGGTGGGCACCTAAAATGCTTCAGAGGGTCTTAAGCTGGGGCCTCTGGACCTTAAAGGGTCCATGGACATAGCTGTTTCAATCAAACTGGTTTAAATGTAATCCTATATAATTTATGGATTTTAAAGTGTTATTCCCAGAAGGGCTCCAAGTCGTCACCAGATAGCCAGTAAAGCCCGTGGCATTAAAAACAAACAAATAAGATTAAGAGCCTCCTCTAGAAGACGTAAAATAAACACAGGGTATGCAATGCTGTGGCAAGGAGGCTGCAAATCAGTTTTAAGCCATGAATTTACTAGGGTGTAATAGATTCCAAATCCATAAACTTTAACTCTGTTACCATCTATAGATTGATACAGAGGTAGATGGGGTAAACATCATATAGAATTCTCTAAAAATATTTAATTCTTACATTTCTGTTGAGCCTGAGCCCCTCATACCCCAACGTGTCCGTCTGTGCAGGCACCCCGTGTTCAGTGTCCCTGTGCCTGCACCACAGGTGCCACAGCGGGCACCGAGAGAGGCAGCAAGTGCTCTCCCAGCAAGCCCAGTGGGGAAATGTAAAGGCTGGCCCCAGCGTCCTCGAAGTGAGGGAGCTGCTGACGTCTGGAACGGGGGAGGGCAGACGTCTGCTGGCCATGCTTAGAGAAGAGGTGAGGAGTCAACTCTAACCTAACCGGTCAGCTCTCCTGTGGGTCTCAGCCCTCGTCAGGCCGGGTCAGTGGGCCACAGACAGCTCTAAAGAACCTAAACATCTATCGTGTCTGGGAGAGAACAATCACTTACAGAACCCCGTCAACACCAACAAAAGGCAAGTGTTGGTGAGGAGGGGAATCAGGAACCCCTGCCCCCCATTTCGGGGGGAAGGCAGATGGGGCAGCTGCACTGGGCGACTGCAGGGACCTCAGAAAATTAAAAGTAGAACTGCCATACGATCAAGCAATCCCACTCCCGGGTTTTATCTAAATATCCTGATATCAGGGTCTTACAGCGATATTACTACTCCCACACTTATTGCTATTCTATTGACAATGGTCAAGATGTGACCAACATCACTGTCTGTTGAAAGGTGAATGATAAAAAAAATGTGATATATATAACAGAGTACTACTCAGCCTTGGAAAATAAGGAAATTCTCCAACATGTGACAAGGAGGAAACTTGAGGGCATCATGCTAAGTGAAATAAAGTCACCCAAAGCTAAATACTGCATGATCCACTTACGGAAGTCATGTAAAGTAATCTAATTCATAAAATCACGACAGAATGGTGGTTAGCAGGAACTGGGGGAGGGGAAACAGGGAGATACTGATAACAGATCTTCAGTCCAGGGGACTGCGGCACTGGAGGTCTGCTGTTCGCCTTGTACCTAGAGTCAGCAGTGATGCACACTTAAAATCGCCAAGTGTTCTTACAACAGAAAGATCTTAATGAAAAAAAAAAATCAAAGGAAACCAACCAGTGCTTAAAAAAGTATAGAACTGAGAGGAAGGAAAGAAGCAAGCAGAGGCCAAGTTTTTATGACTATATAAGTAAAATAGCTGTGAAAATAAACTCTTCAGGCACTTTTTCTTTGTATTGTGTTTGCATACAATTATCTTTATGAGGGAAAGAAGTTACATAAAAACAGGTAAGATGTAAGAATGATCCCAATACCATCCATCTTCAATTATCCATCCTAATAAAATGGATTAAAACATATTGATAATGTAAATAGTGGAAATTCAGATTTTAAATGAGAACACATACATATACACTCATATTCCTTAGGACAGCTGTTGGTCATTGTCTGTGCTGGATTGGTTGACGACCCCCATAATGAACTCTGGACACTCAAGTTCCTCACCTGAAGTGTTGTACTGTATTATCTACACATATCCTCCCACATTTAAAATCATCTCCAGATTACTTACAAAACTAGCAAAATGTAAATGGTATGTAAATACTTGCATTTTTTAAAGGAATGACAAGAAAAATGTTTGCACATGTTCATACAGATACTATGATTTTCCCAAGTATATTCTCCATGGATGTGGGGCCACAGATGGGGAGGAATGACTGTTCTTAATATTAGGCAAGGTCCGACCCTTAGATTATGTCTGTGTCCAACTTCCTATTGAGTCAACTCTACTAGTTACATTCGACCCACTTATAGCAAGTGACCACTATGGGATGGTCTGAAAAACAGATTTAAAAACACTAAAGTAACATTTGTCAAGTTCTTTACATCTCATAAAGCGCTTCCACACACGTGCTCTGAAGGCATTGAAGATTGCCTACACAACATATGCATTGTGCAAGCTCTGCTGTAACTAAGAGAAGATTTAGAATTAGTTTTTTTTAAAACTATCAAATTAGAAGTGGTTCTAGTATTCATTCTATTAAGCACCTTGTTAGATCAGATGTCTATTGTTTATATCATCTAATAATAAAGGAAAATTTAACAGATGTAGGCATGTCAAAGGGGGCTCAAAACAAAATCTTCAAGACTGTCTTTCTTGGTGGGTAGGTGTCCTGTTGGACAGTCCCTTTAGCATTCACATATATGTTTGAACTTGACTGAGACCACAAGTCTCAAAACCAGAAAGGGGGAGATGTGTGCAAAGGGACTGTTTGATGCCATTGCTCTAGAAAGTCAGGTTAGAATACCATGCAGAAGGCCGAGAAAGCGAGGACACGTGCCAGGCGAAGAGGCAAGTTAGCAGACCCCAGGCAGCCAGGGAGAGCTGTTCACAGAGGAGAATAATAAGGTCACAATTTCTCTGGAGTTTTATGACGCAGAAAGACTTCACTTTCCTCATTCACCTTTGCATCCCCAACACCCGGAGTGCCAGACACCGGGAGGAAGGAGCTCGCCAGTGGAAGGAGCTCGCCAGTGGATTCAGTGCAGCCAGGAAAGCCGTGGCCCTGTGGGTAGCAGCAGGCTGGCAGGGCTAGGTGGGGCCAGAGATGAAGCTCGTGAACGTGTAAGTTCCACGACTTGTAGGATGATTAGCTTCTGGCTTGATGTAGGTTCTTGTGAAATTTGGGGAGGCATTTGACAATGGGCACAAGGGCACTTGCAAACACTCCTGTCATCCGATTTCCTAACTGCATTTGTGGGTCTCTACCCTAAATCAACAACCCGAAGTGAGGGAGGGCTCTGTGCGTAAAGACGCTAACCACAGTGCTGCGTTAGTGGAAAAGCGGACCACCCCGCCTGGGAATCGGGAAACGGGCCTGGTACTCAGTCAAAGGCAACGTCCTAGGACAAGTGACACCCCCGGTGCTAAAACGCGCCAAGTGAACACAGTAGGTCTGCAGTCCCGGGGGCGAGGGCGCCCCGGCTGGACGTCCGCCCGCCCGCCTCCCTCGGGGTCTTGCAGGGCGTCCCGCGGGCCAGGCTCCGCAGGGCCGGGAGGCGGCGGCGGAGGAGGCGCCGCCTTGCTCGGCTCGGCCTGGGTGGGGCGGAGGGCCACCTCCAGGCCCCGGCGGGCGCGCGCCAACCGCGACACCTGCCCGGCGGCACAGCCTCCCGGCGGGACGCGCGGCGGACGGGTCACGTGACCCGAGCGCGGCCGCGCGCCTTCCTGACAGCCGGGCGGGCGGAGCCGAAAACCAGACGCACGTCGCGGGCGGGGCGGGGCGGGCCTGCGTGTCCGGACGACGCCTTCCGCCCAGTTGGTTTCGCGGTTGCTGGGCGCCGCGGCCGGCGTGCGCGGGCGGGCGGAGCGCGCGAGGCCATGGCGACCTTTGTGAGCGAGCTGGAGGCGGCCAAGAAGAACCTGAGCGAGGCGCTGGGGGACAACGTGAAGCAGTAAGCGCTGCGGCCGCCTGCCGGCCGCGGCGCCGCCCGCCGAGGCCTGCGCCGCACGGGCTGGCGCCCCGGGCTCGGAGGGCCTCCGCGCGGGTCCCGGGGCTGTCGAGCGTCGGCCCTGGCGGCGGCCTGGGGCGGGCCCCGGGGGTCGTCCTGGAAGAGGCGGCCGGGGCGGGCTCTGGGGGGCGTCGTGGAGGAGGCGTCCTGGGGCGGGCTCCGGGGGGCTTCCTGAAGGGCTGAGGGGCGTCTTGGAGGAGGCGGCCCCGGAGGTCTGGGGTCGTCCTGGACGGCTGCGGGGCGTCGTGGAGGAGGCGGCCGGGGCGGGCCCCGGGGGTCGTCCTGGAAGAGGCGGCCGGGGCGGGCTCTGGGGGACGTCGTGGAGGAGGCGTCCTGGGGCGGACTCCGGGGGGAGGGCGTCCTGGAGGGCTGGGGGGCGTCCTGGAGGAGGCGGCCCCGGAGGGCTGGGGTCGTCCCGGAGGAGGCGTCCAGTCTCCCCAGCACCGCCGCCGCCTCCTCACCTTCTTACCTGCTCTGTTATGGCGAAGTTCCGTGGCTTGGGGCCGTCCGTGATTTTCCGAGGTTCCTTCGTGTGTGAATTTGGGGTGGCAGTTGATTTTGGTTTTCTTCTAGAGAAACGACCCAAACTTTGACAAAGATAGAATTCTGTCAAGTGTGTCGTAAGCACTTGGTGACTTCCCCCAATACAGTGTTCTCCTTAATGTCTTAATGTTCGTGTTCGTGGTCCATCTAGTCTTTGCTCATTTAGTGAACAGACTTTAATGATTTTAGTAGGGATCCCGCCTTCAGCCTCGCCAGCTGCGTGGCTTTTGGTTTGCTAAGACTGATAAGGGGGACGGTTTTCGGCACAGTGCCGACTTCACTGTTTTGTCTAGAATGCTTACAGATATTTGAAAGTGTTGATTTTACGCGGCACCAACTCGGAAGGACCCGGCAGGACGGTGTGAGGGACTTCAGCCCTGAGTGGATGCAGGTGCCCTCCATTGTCCCCCCAGGAGCCCAGCAGCGTTTGGAAGTTGGCGCCCCTGTTCTGTGCTGAGGGCCAAGGTGTGGGTGCGGTGCCATCAGGCGTGGGTGCTGAAGCGGGATCTGGTGATCCTGCCATTGCACTGTTTTGCATTTGTGTTTCAAGCCCCCACCCCACAGTTGCAAGGGTCGGACTCTGGGTGCGCTGCCCCTGAGCCACATCCCCAGCCGCCTTATGAGAACCTTATTTTGGAGAAGGTCTCAGGGACATGCTTCAGCTTGTGCTCTCCCTGCCTCAGCGCCAATGCGGGTGGCCCAGTGCGGGTGGCCCAGTGCGGGTGGCCGTGGGGCCTCTGGTGGCGCAGTCTGCCTTGCTCTAGTCCAGCTCAGGTTCCCTCCAGGGTCGTTGGCTTCGCTGTGTGCAGCTGCCGTTGGAATGTGATCCTGGGTGTGGGTAAAACAAGGTGCACAACCCCGAGAGGAGCCACGCTGCTTACCCAGGGGTCTGCGTGTCCTCCGCACCTGGTGGAGTCCAACTGGCCGTTTCCAGAGGGAGGTGGACTTCACTAGCAGACTCGGCTTGCCTAGTAATGGTGGAGTTCATGTTCCCATAGATGTCGAGTCTTGGGGGCCCTTGGCCTGCCCGTGTCTGTGAGCACTGCCACCTCACCCTTGCCTTGACGGTGACTGGCTCCCTTCTGAGTGTGATGGAGCTGCCATCCCTGTTGCTCCGGGTCAGCACAGGGTGGGCCTGCGGAGCAGCTCTTGGGTTCTGAGTGGCGCTGGCTGTGGGGCTGGAGAAGACAGCCTGGTGTTGGCACCGCTGCCTGGGAGAGCCGCGTCTTGGTCCTGGAAAGCTGGCGCGCTCCTAAAGGGCTGCATGGCCGTCTTGCTGAAGGCAGCCAGGGCTTTCGCGCCGTGAGGCTCTCCCGTCCGTCCGTCTCCTGTTAGAACCGCGTGAGACAGGACCTCTGGTTTTCTGCAGAGCTTTTTTGTACTCACTTCTTTATTGTTCCTGTCCTTCAAGAAAAACATGAATGTGTCCACCCTTGTGAAGTTGCTAGTGACCTGCTGAGCGGGGTTATCAGTGAAAGGTGTCAGGTAGAGCTGAATGTGTTCTGCTGTTGAAATAGGCTCGAAAGTGGCAGTGTCATAGGTTATGTGTCACTTTAAGACTGTAAAGTTCCTGGGTTTCCTGCTAAAAAGAATGCACAGGACCGGGCAAGGCCTGGGGTGGGTCCTGCCTGCGCATTGACCCCCAGGGCGCCGAGCCTCACTTGGGAAGCCTCTCTTTTCCTGAACTCACATGAGCTCTAGAAGGTAGGTGAGCTTGAGTTGAAAGTGGTAAGGCATTTACTGAGCCATTTTTAAAATCCTGTTCCATGAATAAGAAGCCCCCAAACAAGTGTGGCGTGGGAGACTGGAATCCCTCCTGGTGCTGAGGAGCAAAAGGCGGAGTCGTCTCCTCCTGGGGTTGAGTCTGGCTTCCTTACCTCTAGGAACTTCTCGGGGTGAAGTTGAGAAACCCGGTTCTCAAGCCAGGCAAATGAAAAGGCAGGGCACTGCCCCTAGTAGGTGCGAACAGCCACCCGCTCCCGCCCAGCACCTGTGGATTTCCGTGAACCGTGGGTGGATGTGGGCTCTGGGCGGAGGTCCTGTGAGTGGAGTCATTTCTGAGACCCTGGCCGTCCCTGTGGAGGAGACCATTTCCTGCTTGGTGCTCTCTGATTTCCAGGGGGCTAAATAACAGAAGCTTGACTCCTCACAGTATGGAGGCTGCAGGCCCAGGGGAGGGCATCCATCTGCTGTCCCTGTCTGGAGGCCTATCACGTTGGTTTTGGGCCCCACCAGTGGTCCCCCTTAAATCCCTGCTGCTCTACAGGCCCTGTCTCCAAGTGGTCACTCTTTGGGGTATGGGGTTGGGGCTTCCATGTGTGAATTTTGAGGGGACAGTCAAGCCAGCAGTGCCAGGGAGTGTGGAGTTTCTCCCCCGGGAGTTGGCATAGGCGAGGTGGACCTGGGAGGGCAGCATGGGTTCTTACTGCCAATTCTCCTCTGCAGATACTGGGCTAACTTGAAGCTGTGGTTCAAGCAGAAGATCAGCAAGGAGGAGTTTGACCTGGAGGCCCACCGGCTGCTCACACAGGACAATGGTACAGTGATAATACGGGGTTATTTTGCTGTTTGGATGTCTTCCCAGGTTTACAATAAATTAAGGACTTTTCACTTTTTGAAAAAGAAAATTTTGGTCTTAATAGCATGTGAAACCATCTTAAAATGTGGTGCTTGAAGTGCAGGGTGGTGGGGGATCTCGGACCCCAGAGCAGGCTGCGCGTGGAGCCCTGTGTGTGGGCGCTGGGGTTTGACCTGCTGGCCTTCCCTTGCAGTGCATTCTCACAACGATTTCCTCCTGGCCATCCTCACGCGCTGTCAGATTTTGGTTTCCACACCAGGTAAGGAGGGCAGTGCTCCAGCATGTGCCCAGGAGCCCTGGGTTTCTACCAGCTCTAAGCCACGTCCGAGTTTGCAAATGAAATGTTCTTTGAGCTGCTCTGGGGAAATTTTTCTCACATAGGTGCAAATTCTTATCTAGAAACTTTTTTCCTGCACTCACTGGTAACCGCTGGTCTTGCCCTCAGCGGTCAGGAAGTGAGCAGGCCGGAGAGGCTGGGAGGTCGGGTGGGGGACAGGTAATAACATGTGAAATCATGGGGTGGGGTGACTGTGGGCACTAGGGAGCTGGGCTCCACCTGCAGGCTGGGGTGCTTGCTGCTCCTGGAGGGTGGGGCTGGGGTGCCTGTTGGCTCCTCACTTCAAGAGCCGCGGGTGGGGGCTGGTGAGAGTCAGCCTGCAGGGTTGTGTTCAGGACACTGACCCCTGAGAGTGGAGCTGAAATGGCCGACTGTTGAATGTACCTCTTTGGGCTATCTTATTTAATGAGGCAAAGCTCCCCACGTGACTGAGGTTGTCCTAGAAGGCACCTCCTGACTGTGTCGATGAGGTTGGTTTATCTTTCAGCATCTTGGTGGCATGCTGTCTCAGAAGCCTGTGTCTTACCAAGAAGGGCTGGTATTTGTGTTGTCCCCCTTCAGGTTGTGTTCCTTGGAGGGTAAAGAGTCCCCAGGCTGTCTCCAGCTGACGCCTGCCCTTCCCAAGTGCTGCACAGAAATTTCGAAGGGTCCTTGTCCCCCCCTCACAGCCCCTGTGCCACCTGCATGTCTGATTCGTCACCCTCAGGGGCAGAAGAGGGCTTTAGCCAGACGTTTTACATCCAAAGTGGATGAGATCGTTCATCTACTTTGTTGCTTATCATTTGGTTTGAGCTGAAAAGCCAGCACTGTGAGGACTGGTGGCACTTTCTAGGCGGGTCTGTTGTGAAGTGCCGCCACCACAGGTCGGGGGCCTGCTGAGAGGGGAGAGCCCTGGTTGGTAGAGCCCATGGGGTCAAGCTGGTGTGCTGCCAGCCTCCATCACATGAGCAAGGACTTGCAGGTTCTCAACTTCCACATCCACGTCTAGGTGTGCCCTGTGAGTTCACAGGAGAGCCAGGGGAGAACAGGAAGACGGTGCCGAACAAACATAAGTGGTGTCAGTGTAGGAGCCGGCTTCAGTTAACTAAATCTAATTAGTTAAAAACTTGACATTTTTGAATGTGTGTAACTGGTTATTTTAAAATAAGAAGCTTCCTCTTTGGACTGAAGAGTATATTTCGCTTGCACGCTCAGTATTGATTCCTTTAAGACGGAGGGATGCTCGCCAGCAGTAGAGACGTCTCAGTGAGGATGGTGCAGTGCTGTGCGCCTGCCCAGCGGCTGTGGCCGGGCTTCTGCTTTTCTGAGGCAGGCAGGAGTAGTGACTGAGCCGCCATGTGTTGGTGGCTGCAGCCTGAGGACCGTGCGCCTGTCCTGGTCAGTGTCACAGCACGACGCAGGGTAGTGAGGCTGCTCTTACAGATGAGGAACAGCTTCAGAGAAGAGAAAACAGAACGGAAACCCAAGACTTGGCTGAGGTGCTGTCCCACCTGCCAAAGGGAGGTGCTGATCAAAACCAGGATCTACGCTGGAGAAGCCCCCAGCCAGGGCCACGCTGCGTGTGCTTCGTCCTCAGCCTGAGCTTGTCCGCAAGTTGCAGGTCCAGCCTGCGCCTTCTCCACCTGTCCAGCACTTGCCCTGGCCAGTCCACCTTCTCTCACCAGGAGAAGCTGACCTCATCATATTAGACCTGGGTGTGCCAAGGGCGATGGACAGGAGGGCCTGACTTCCCAAGAGTCCTCTTTTAACGAGGAACCTGGATACGTTTTCCCCCAAAAGTTATAAAAACTCCTTTTTTCCAAAAAAGAGCATTTACTGGATTATGGGTGTTTTTTTTTTTTTTTTTTTTTAATTCTGGAGGCATTTTTTTGGGGTGCACTCTGAGGAGCTCCTACTGCTTGTGTTTGCATTGAGCTCTGTTCACTTGTAGGCTTCAGTGGCACAGAAGGTGCTGGGGGCCGCCCCCCTCGCCTGCCCAGCCCGCTGGCCTCCTGCTTGCCCCCTCACAGGGGTTTGCCCGGGGCCGTCCACAGTCTCTGACGGCATGCCTCTTCTCCCTTCGCCCTGTTGCTTGGGGTGTCCCCAACCCTTACCTGCTGCCTTTCTGTCAAGTTCCTTTTTTTTTTTTTTTTTTTTTTAATTCCTGTAGATGAACCCAGTACCTTTATTTACTTATTTTTATGTGTGTTGAGGATGGAACTCAGGGCCTTGCACTGCCAGGCGAGTGAGTGCTCTACTGCTGAGCCACAACCCCAGCCCCTCCAGTTCCTTCTTTGATTCAGCATTTTTTACGGCGTTCTCCTCTTTGGACGCGGGTCTCAGCCTCTGCCGGTGCCAGCTCTGTAGGACCTCTGTTGTTTGCTTGGGTAGCTTGGTCGACTTATGGTGTCCAGTGGCTTGGATGTAGTTGTCCCCCAAGGGCTCACTGTTAGTGGTGCTCAGTGGAGGTGTGCCTAAGGTGGCACCCTTAGGACATGGGGCCTGGCCAGAGGTCCTCAGTGGTTGAGGGAGTGGCCTCAGAAGGGCAGAAGGGAGCTAACAGGACTCCTGAGTTCTTGAGTGCTGTGGTGCTCTGGCTTTCTGTGGTGCCACGTGACCTCCCTCTTGCATGTGCTCCTGCCCTTGGCCATGAGCTTCTCTTAAGAGCTGAGCTGACACTGGAACCATGCCCTGGGGTCTCCAGAAATGTGGGTCAAATAAACCTTTTTCTTTGTAAAGCAATTTGCCTTAGAGATTTTATTATAGTGATGAAAAATGGACTGATACAGTGTATTACCAAGCAGGGTCCAGCATCTGGTGATTTGTTGTCCTCTTCATTATAAGAATATAGAGTATGATTGTCAGGAGACTACTTTGGAGAAAGCTGGTGGAAGTTCCCCAAACCAGTGTACAGAGAGCTTTGTGCTGGGGCTGAACATCTGCAGCAGCTACGGTAGCCAGTCCTGGAAGTTTTGTTCGGTGTGACTGGAGAAGAGCCCTCTGTCCCTCCTTCCTCCTACCACCCACCCTGCCGTGCCCTGGGCCTGGGAGTGAGTGGGGCCCCCACGCTTGGTTTGGGATGTTACCTCCATGGTCTTGAGATGGTCAGTTTTTGAATGAGTAGCTAAACATTTGTTCTGGGCTGTCCTGGGTGCAGGCCTTGGTTAGTTGGTGTCCTTGCCTCCTATGTCCACTGACCCTGTCCTCCCCTTGCCTGGCACGGTGCTGTGCCCTCGGCCACTGCCTCCTCCCTGCTGGCTGCTCGCTCTTGCTGCCCCTGCTGGGTTCCACCGCTCCTGGCAGGAGAGGAGATGTGTGCTCATGCTCAGCTCACGGGGCTGGAGGTCTGTCCTGCCTTTACAGTAATGCCCCAAGGGACGAAAGCCCAGTAAACACTAACTAAAGCAGAAAAATCACATTTGTCTTCCTAAAATATTTTTGGTCACGGCTAGAAAAAAATGTGATTTGAAGTGTCGATAATTTTGTTCAGAAAAGTAGAAAGAGAAGATCCAAATTTGAGCATTCATTCCTTATTTTCATGACGTGAGCTTCCATGCTTTAAAATTCCAAATGAAAACAGACTCGGCATAGGCATCGTCGTCGCTTTCACTTACGATTGCTGTTTTCTGTCTCACAGAGGGTGCTGGATCTTTGCCCTGGACGGGGGGGTCTGCGGCCAAGCCTGGAAAGCCCAAGGGCAAGAAAAAGCTCTCTTCTGTTCGCCAGAAGTTTGACGTAGGTCTTCCCTCACAGTGACGACTGGTCATGACTCGAGTGGCAGTGTGGGGCCTGGCTTCATTTGAAATGAACATTAAAGAACCGGTGGGAGTGCTGAAGAAAGGATGTGATTTAGGGAGGAAAGGGTCTCAAGACTGTGGTCTGTTGACAGTTCTTTCTGTTACTTCTCCGGTGTGCATATGTTCTCACTCATACCCAAGGGTTTCCCGGGTTGAGCGGGCCCACTGGTTTCTCAGGTTGAGGGCATCCCGGGTGGGGCTTAGCAGCCTGGAGGCCTCTGCATGCATCTGCAGTGCCTGCCTGGTCTCAGCCTCTTTGCTTATAAAATCTGTAACTGTTTGAGAATATTTGGAAAAACCTGTATTTTTCAAAAAGTTTATCTCTAGGGGAAGAAGTTTTTGATAATATCCCCCTTTGAGGTTGGCCTGGGAAGTAATCGTCTTGTTGACTAATATCACCAAACATTTATTTCTTCCCCCTTGTATCAGGCCCTGCAGAGGCACACGGGGTTTACATAGGCCCATTCAACGGGGAGTGCAGTTTTATACTTAGAAAAGGAAAATTGACAGTGGTTATTTTTATAATAGAGGCTTGGAGCAGGAACACTGCCTTCAGTGCAGGATCTGGACGTTAGCCAGAGCTTCCAGGAGCCTGTCTCCCAGTGATGGTGGACAGTCCTGAGGAAGGCTGAGTGGTATGAACGAAGGGAGATTGAGAACATCGACTCAGATAGTGTGGCGAGGGCCGAGGCTCTGTGTTGAGAATTGTAAGCAGAAAGTAACAGTCGATAGGTGGCACTGTCTATGGCGTCTTCAGGGTGCTGGTTACGGATCTGTCATTGGCCAGCGAGGTGGAAGGCCAAATGGCGGTGCTGACAGTGCCTTCAGAACTGCCAGTTAAAGTTCTCTGCTCTTTGAACATGACTTAGTGTCCTGTTCTGCTCCTGAGTTGTGATCTTTAGCACAGGACCATAGAGCATGTGGCCACCATGGTCCTTGCTGAACAGAAGGAACTCTGTGTGGCCAGTGTCCCTGAGCTCACGTCTCCATTGTCCAGTGTGATGGGCATGAGTGTGTGATTATTTGTGAGTTACTGTTTTCTTTGCCACTGTCACGTTTTGGTGGCATTCATTTGAAGGGTCTCGAGTCTAAGACATGACTCCCTCTTGTCTGTCTGCTTGCTGTGGTGACGAGTGGCCCTGCAACGTTCTGTCACTCTCAGCATAGATTCCAGCCCCAGAACCCCCTCTCCGGAGCACAGCAGTTCGTGGCAAAGGATCCCCAGGATGATGACGACTTGAAACTCTGCTCCCACACGATGATGCTTCCCACGCGCGGCCAGCTCGAGGGGAGGATGATTGTGACGGCCTACGAGCACGGGCTGGACAACGTGGCTGAGGACGCCGTCTCAGCTGTGGTCTATGCGGTGGAGGTTGGTGTGCTGCCGGCAGAGGGGCTGTGGGTTGAGCATGAGGCGCTCCTGTGTGTGGCAAGTGATGCTATCGCAGAAGAGCCGGGCGCCACCTTGGTGTCAGAGAGCCGTCTCTGTCACACGTCACAGTCCAGAGAACTGCGCCATTGATGGACAGGCTCTTGGGAAGGTCGGGTAGGGCCTAACACTTCTGATCTGATGTGCAGCAGTGAGGGAGTGGTGTCAAGGACGGAGTGAGGCTGAGGGTCCTGGGGTCCGCCTCTGCGTGTGTAGAGTGCTGGGCGTGGCGTCGGAGTAGCAGAGGTGGCTCGCATGCTAGCCCATGCGTCCATTTACTTATCTAGCTGTTTGACAATTACACGTTGTACTGTGACCTGGAGGTGCTCAGGGAGCACTGAGTAATTCCTTTCAATTCCTGGGGCCCCATTTTCCTCCTCTGTACATCAAAGATAACCATAACTGTCTCATGAAGTTATAGACAGTCATGGGTTCTCTGTGAACCCCGTGTTAAATCGCAGTTATGACTTGATACAAGATGGTCCTCTTGGTGTAAGTGAAACACACTCCCAGGTCCCGGCTCACCTGTTGGTGACCATAGGCTGGCATAGTTCCACATCTATTTTCATAGACATTCTGCAACCTTTCCTTATACACTTGGCTCTCACAGAAGAAATTAAATACATAGTTTTAGAAAGGCAAAAAGAAATTAAATAGACATTGTTTGTGTCTACTTCTCTGAGAGATCCTGTGTTTGTTTGTGTGGCTTTTGAGAACACAGGCTCTTTTCATGTAAGGATTGTATAACCAGTAAATATCAGATCTTGAAACTTTTCCTCCCGTGTTAAACCAAGTCTCCAGGTAGCTTGCCTTTCTTTAAAAATAAATTATTTATTGAAAATCATTTTTGAGAGAAATGAGCCAATTTAGAGACATGAAAACTTTAAAAATTCAAATTCATTGTAGGACAAGACCATTTTTAAAGGGAGCCGGATGAAAATGCGCGTGCCCTCCTCCCCGTGCCGCTTCTCTTTAGAGCGGCTGCCGGCTCTTGGCTGACCACTCCCGCGGTTCTGGCTTGTGCCAGCCAGTCCCACACCTCTGCGGATGGTCAGTGGAAGCCGTGGTCTGTTCTGAGGTGGTGGTGTTCTCCCTCTGCTTTTCAGAGCCACCTCAAAGACATACTGACGTCAGTTGTATCCAGAAGGAAAGCGCACCGGCTGCGAGATGGCCACTTTAAGTATGCTTTCGGGAGCAATGTGACCCCACAGCCATACCTGAAGAACAGCGTGGTGGCCTACAATAGCCTAATCGAAGGGTAAGTGCTTTCTCGCGATTCTCCCTCTGCCCCGGCTTGTTGGTGGCAGACCTCTGGTCAGGTCATTGGTCACTGGGTTCCTGTAGTGTGGCAGGAGTTCCGCCCACTCTACTGTTCTGTTCTCTTCAGTCTTAGCCTCTTGGGCCATCTAGTGAATTACTGTCATTTTTATCAGTTCCAGGGTCGGGCTGCTGCCTGGGGTCCGTTGTGACCCTCTTTCTGCTGTGCGGTGGAGTGTGGCTCCCTTGGGCAGCACCCGCCTGGGGGCAGTGGCCCTGGGCCACAAGTGCCGGTTCTCATCTGATCTCATTCTGCCACATGTTTGGGATTTTCACTGAAGTCATGCTTCTCTTGACGAAAACAAAAAGTGGCTCCTCGTGGTGGGGGTGCTGGCCAGGGCGTGAGGGCTGCTCTTGCCTGGATGCTGCCCGCTGTCCTGGCGTTCCGAGGAACCGAGCTCTTTCTCCAGCTACTCTGACGTACACATCCCACCCGGCTTCTCCGCGCGCCGTCTGGGCAGTTTTGGAAACGAGCAGCCCCGTGCTGGCCAGCGTCCCCTTCCTGCGGCTGCTGCTCCTTGCCTGCAGTGCTGCTTTCTTCTCCACGCCAGCTTCCAGTGGCTCGTGGTCTCTTTCTTTTTCAACTGGAAGCTCCTCAGGGCAGGAGACAATCTGGCTCAGCCCCCTATCTAACTCAATACTTGAGTGCTGAGGAGCAACGGGCCAGGGGAGCCGAGTGTGCTTGTGTCCAGCCTGACGTGGGCACTAATGGGTTTCTGTGGAGTTGAAGGCAGTTGTAGGGAGCCGTGGCCTGGCCAGCCCCTCTGTCCATGTGCGGGTTGTCTGTGGGAGATGCTGGGAGTGTTTCTGCCATGTCTTTCAGCCCTCCGGCTGTGTCCACTCCCTGTGCGGGTCAGAACCCGGCTGCCCACCTGCCCCCGGACGCTGCTGAGCAGCAGGCCGCACTCCTGCTGGCCTGCTCTGGGGAAGCGCTGCCTGCTCCTTTGCCTCCAGTGAACATGTACGACCTCCTTGAGGCTCTGCAGGTAACTCTCGGCTCCTCGGGTCGGACAGGCTGGCGGCTTTTCAAGTCTGCGGAGTCGTGCGCTGGCTTGTTTCTACTTCCTGGTTCTGTTTTTGGCTTTTTGTTTATTATTAAAGCCATTAATACTAGTCTCATTTTTAAAATCCTAAGCCCAGGTGTCTTTCCTGATTTACCTCCCTCATCCTTGACCTCTCCAAAAAAAGGAATCAGCGTGCTTGCCGCTTATTCAGAACTTGGCGGTGCCTCGTTCCTTCTTGTCTGACTTGGGATGCATTAGGCTCTCGTTCAACTTCTGGGTTGTGTCTTGTCTGTGTTGTGTTGACGTAAACCCATTCTCTATGTTGGAAAAGTAAGCCTGCTGAAGAATAACTGGAGATTGCTGATGTTTGAACCCCAGGTACACCGGGAAGTCATCCCTACACACACTGTGTATGCCCTCAACATCGAGAGGATCATCATGAGGCTCTGGCACCCGAATCACGAGGAGCTGCAGCAAGACCAAGTCCACCGCCAGCGCCTGGCGGCCAAGGAGGGGCTTCTGCTCTGCTAAGTGGGATTGGAGGGTGTGGGGTCCTCACGGGTCTTTGCTTGCTGAAGAGGGCATGTTTGGGGTCTGCATTTCGAGGCTGAAGTGTAGAGTGTACATATAACCTTTCCTATGGAAATGGACAGTGAGTGTGTTTTCTGTTGCTGCTGCAAGGCCATTCGTGTAAATACAGGCCACCCTGTCTGCGTGTTCCCAGTTACGGGAGCAGGCGTGATGAAGTCCTGTGCCTGGAAGGGGACGCCTGTCTGAGGCCCTGTGTAAGATGGACCATCCTAGAGTGAAGGCGCCGTTGCAGCCTGTCCCCTCGACTGACAGGACATTCTTGTGTTCTGTGTCTGGCCAGATAAAACTTTTACACTCTTGCTTTTTGTTGGTATAACCTATCCAGTGTTGAAACTCGGACACCTCCTTTAGTGACGGGTTTAATTTTTAACACCTTGAGGTAGCCTCCAAGCCATCCACCATTTCAGCTCCACAGAAAACGTGACTTGCAGATGCTGTGCTGTTGGACAAAATTAAGCCCAGCCAACCCACCCTCCTGGAACGCAGTCTGCTTTAGAAGACGTCTTCCTGGGGCTCCAGTTTGTTTAGTGTTGAAGTGCCCAGGGATGATTGGCAGGTGCTTCTGTTAATCATCCTTAAAAGATGTCTTGCTATAGCTAATTTGTATAGTGTTAATATGACCAGTGGTGACTGAAGGCACGTCTACTAATTATTCCTATAGAACATGTTTTAAGAAATCTTACAAATTGGATTTATGGTTGGTAATTCTATTTGTAGGAAATATCTATTTCTACCCTTTTAAGTGCTAAATTGAAAATAATCTACTTTGACAGTGTTACTGAAAACCAGTTTTGTTTTCTAGAGATACATATGCTTTTTACTCAATAGTGTTGATGGACAAATTAGACTGTAGGTGGGTTTGTGTAGGACTGAGGAATGGATGTATGGGTATGTGTATATAGTTCATACGTCTGAAGCTCTGTATTTGATTTTGTACTTTAAGCGTGACAAATGTTTTGGCAGAAAACCTTTTTTTTTTGTTTATTAAAGTAAGTACATAAGGAAGAATATCATACAGAAATAGTAAAGCCCTGCTTTGTGAGATCTTGGCAGAGACTTTTCAGAGTGTACTGGCTGAGAAAGACTGAAGGGCAGGCTCCCGTTAAGCTTTACCATTTCTCTCTTTTGTGATGTTTTTAACACCAAAGAGAAAAAACAGCTTAGTTTCAGCTTTTGCATAAGCCATTTGGAGTATTCGGTAAGGCAGGACTCTTGACTTTTTAGAATCTGGAAGAATTTGAGCTGATACTGAAGCGAGTATGGAGGTTTTGTTTGGGACTGCAGTACCCCGGGCCTCCGCTGCCCAGGAGCATGCCGGCATCCCCTGTGCTCCCACATGGAGGCAGCCAGGAGCCGCTGTCTTTCTGCCATAGTGACAGGGCCCCTTGGAGCCTGTGCGCAGCAAACCCAGGATGCCACTGGACTAGCTCCCTGTGCTTCATTTTCATTTCTGCGCTGATATAAGAAAGTCTGCCTCCGTGACAGTTCTCAAGAGGACTCCCAAACTGGGAGGTGGCAATGAGGCAAGGCAGGCAGACAGAGTAAATGGGGTTTCAGGAGAGCCCCTCAAAAGGGAACCTTTGTGCCAAAGACGGGCTCCACCCTGCCACCTCCAGCTGGAGGGTCCCAGGGCGTCTTCTGCAGTTACCCTCAGGAGTTACCCAGAAAACAGTTCAGTGGGGGAAAAGCAGCCAGAGACCAGGTAGCTCAGGAGGATCCCAGTGACTTCTGTAGGACTATGGATGAGTCTTTGCTGTAGGTGTGCACACTCGGTGAGGCCTGCCTTCTCCAGGGTGACAGGGCTGGTGTGGTGTGTGCCAAACACTCCCTTGCACTGACTGGTCGCCGACCTTCCCGGATTTCCCAAGGGTCTTCTCAGTGCTTGCTTTCCACTGGCCACCTGTCTTACTATGTCTGACTCAAAATGGCCCTGGGAGGAAGGGTAATAAAGCAGCCTTAGGGGTCAGGCTTGGCCAGTGTGGCCAGCAGAACAGTCCATTTAGTTGAAGGTTTAAAAAGGAAAAACATTGTCTAGATGATTCTTGGAGAGCAGAAGGTACTGACTTGAGTTCACAGAAAAGGAGCATTAACACGGCAGGACTCATTTTACTAAGCACAGGATAAAGGAAACTACGGGCCCATGATGCTTTTGTCTTAGAAGACTTTTATGAGAATAAGATACAAAGTTTTCTACCCATCAGCTTGTGGCACTGAATTTCCACTGATGGTAAATTCATATCCCTTAAGGACTTTCCTTATGTGGTTTGGTAACATTCCATTCCTGAGCATCCAAAACGAGAAAAAGAGCTATTTATGGTAGACCTCCCCCACCTTTAAAAGCCAGTTTAAGACCACAAATATTTTCTTCCTTTGCCTTCAAGGACACCAGTATTACTGTATCCCATGAACACTTGGATTCAGAGGATAGTATGTTGGTACAGAACTAGATGGGGAATATAGACAAAAAGCTTAAAATGTAAGTAACTTTTGACACTGTCAGCAGGTAAATAAAAGCACCATGGCCTAGTGACTTTATTATCAAAGTTTATTGTTGGGGTCACTTCCTATCTATCTACCAGGGAGTACACTATGTCCAAGTGTGCTATAGTCATTCTGCAGAACGGCTGTACTGGGGCTGTTAGGCACAGACCGTGGAAGGAAGCCCAGGAGACCGTGGCGGCAGTGCCGTCCCTCCAGGAACGCTCCAGTGCTGCGCAGCCTGTAAGGCATCATCTCTGCTGGCGAGGAAACGTGAGGTACGGGTCAAGATGAGTCGAACCATTTCTGTTATCTCGGCAAGGTAACTGGCTCCCACATAGGAACCTAAAATTAGGTCCTATAGCATCTTTTAAGCTTCCAAAGCAAGAGAAATAGAACATGGAGAAGGGCCAGGAACTGGGCCACTGGAGAAAAAATTAAGGAAGGAATGGAAGCTTCTGGAATGAAAAGTAACAGGTTCTGGGTGTCATTTTTGGATGTGCAAGAATACAGAATATAAAGCAAATGGGGGAACAATTCAGATAGTGAAAGTTATTTGGATATTAGAAGTGGAGTTTTCCTCCTATGGGGAGACTGGTTTAAAAAGATCAGAAAGGTGAATCACTAAAGGAAGAGGAGTACCTGAGTAGAAATAGGCGTTTCAAGATGCCAAGAAAAGCTTGTAAGACGGCTGCGAGCTGCGTCTGTAGGAGTGACGGCAGCAGCCAGTGAGCAGGCCCGACCCAGGAATGACGGCTCCTACTGATGGCTTCTTCTGAGGTTCTGTAGCTCAGATGGGTTTGAAGGAATGTCTTCGAAACACTCGACTTGGTGGGAATGTAAGTGACCACTGTGTAAAAACCCAACGACCTTCCAGCTGACCTTGCAGGATGGATGATCCCAAGTCTCCAAACAGCTGTGGTAGAGGCCTGTGCCCTCCCACAGCCCTTGTTACAAGAACATTAAAAAGTACCAGATGAGTCTGCGGGCCTTGTACCTTGTGGACAGCAGACCCCTCACGGGGGTCTGCAGGTGGCCCGAGGGCAGAAGCTCATGCACCAAGTGCTGCCTTCACCATTAAGCAGGACAGTGAAGAGGCAGGCCCATCAGACAAGACCCCACAAGTCTAGCTGCCATCCAGACTGGGAAGATAGAACAGCATGTTTACTTTAACCATGTCTTCCATACTAACCTAGTTTGTCTTCAGAAAAGCCACCTGCTGGCACCAGGCCAGGGTGTCTTCATTTTGCTGTTAGCATCAGTATCTCATTTTCCCTAAGGGGCTTGTGATGCCCTTCTACAAAACCTGTGACCCTGTGGGCATGGGCTGTGCTTCTGGAAGCATTCTCAAGGCAAGACACACACTGACTCGAGGTCTTCTCTGCAGAAAGCTTCTTCACAGCGCCAGAGCTGTGCCCACATGCTGGGTCTCCATGGTGTGGGGTCCTGCTCCCCAGGAGCACCTTGCCCTCGCCTACTTACAGGCTCCTTTTGATGGAGAGGCAGATAATCTCCAAGAAATGGGCAGAAGGGTTCTTTCTTAATCTTGTTGCTGATGAAATGAAGGGTCTTCTCCTTGGCTGTGGACACTTCAAGGGGCAGGCAGGGCGTGTCCCAGGATGGACACTGTCCGCTGTCCTGAACTGGGCTGTTGAGAGCCCTGTCACCTCTTCCTACTGCTCCCTGTGCATCCACTGCGTTCGGGAGTCATTTCCCCCCTCTGTTGCCGTCAGTGCCATTTGCTGGAAAACACAGAACTAAATGTGAATTAACCTTTGGATTTCTGGATATCTTAACAAAAATAGCAATTCCATTAGTTTCATGTCCGTCTCCTCCCCTGCCGCCTGAGCAGCCAGACAGCTGCGTCTGTGGCAAGAAAGCCCAGGCTGAGGTGTGCGGAGGTGCCCGTGCTCACAGCTGCAGGGTAGTCAGCTTTCTTCCCTTCCTGGCAGTTCCTGATCGAGGCCCTGGGGGGGGGAACACTCGGAAAACTGAAAATGCCCCCCGATGTTATCTGACAAAGAGGGAAAAGCAAAAGGTGAGAACACTGGCTCCAGAAAAGGGAGGCTGGATCAGGGGCTTATCAAAGTGGGGGACATGAGGAAGCAACAGGCCATTTCTGTGATCCTGAGCATACAGTAAGGTCTTGCTCTGTGGTAACTGCAGGGGTCCAGAATGACAGTGGAGTTAGGGGCATGACTAACTGATGATGTGGGGGTGAGCAAGGAGGCCTGAGCCACTCTTCCACACCGATGGAACTGTACTTTCACATACAGAACCACATCAAGGTGGTTCAGTCTTCTAAGGGATGACCTCACCTCTTGTGAAGCAAGGAGGTTGGAGTGGCCTGCCCTGGGCACTTTCTGGCCTGCTGCTCCCTCCAGGGGAGTGTGGGTGAGGGAGGCTCCTTCCCTCTTCCTCTCAGCTGCTGCTCTGCACTCAGCCCTATCCCAGGCCCTCCATCTGTAGTGTTAGGTGGCACCCTGCTTTATTTTGTTTCTGGTGCAAAGATTTCAGTTTTACAGCACCATCCTGCAGACATAACAGCCCACCCACCCCAAAGGCCAGGATGAGACGGAAGATGTGAAGTGTGTTTACTCCCTGGCAGGTGTTAGGTGTAGACCAGCCCAGGACGGAGACCTGAGGCCCAGCAGATGCGGTACTGAAGGCAGGCCTCCTGCCCTGTGTCCTGGTCCTTCAAGTACATCAGGCACACACTGGCCCTAAACATTCTGTGTGAATTATAAGGGAAAGAAAAAAGTTGTCTTTTTCAGACAAAATGTTTTGTGAGCTGCACATTATCAGACCCTTTTAGGCCCAAATAGTTTCTTACAGAGTTACGGCTGTCAGATTCCGTGTCGGGCAGCTCACCCTTTGTTCATTTCACTAGTATGTAAGTGCTCCTGGTCTGTGCCCCAGGGGACAGTACCCATGAAGGGCGTCAGACAGCCCTTGCCTGGGAAGGAGAGAATGCTGCTGGTCTGCACCCACACACTGCCCCGTGGGCTCTGAGAACTCGAAACCAATATCGGAGAGAGGTAGGTTGGCTGGCAGCCTGGGATGGCAGAGCCCTGAGCACTTACTCCGACCAGCCACCAAGGAGCTGGCCCCTCAGTTGCTCTCCGCCATGCTCTCCACAGGGGGTTCACCTCCTCCCTGTAGCTCACTCTCCACTTCCCACAAGACATTGTCTTCCTCCTCCAGGTTGCTGGAGATGTGGCACTTCTTGAACCCCTGGACAATGGATTCGCTGGAGATGCTATTCCAGGCGACCATGACCCACTCCAGGAAGAGGCCCAGGGGCGGCTTCTTGGCATTGCCGGTGGGGCTCAGGGCCAGGTTCCCAGCCAGAAGCCAGTTGGAGTACTGGGCGCGCACGCTGTCGTTCAGCGGCTTGTAGACCACCACGTCCAGCACCTGCAGCTGCGAGGTCAGGCCCCCGGGGATGATCACCATGTCGGTGTTCATGCTCTCCATGGAGCTCTTCACTGAGTCGGTGGCGTGGCCGCGGAAGCCGTTCAGGATCAGCATGCCCCGCTGCTTGGGCAGGGCCCCGGTCCGCCGCCGCCACACCACCTCCAACCAGTCCTGCATCAGGTCCTCCGTCATCCACCCATAGCGGTGGCAGCGGATCTCCATGCCGCTGGGGAACTTCCCCGGCGGGATGTACGTGCCCCTCAGGATGATGTAGGGCGGCAGTTTCCGCCCATCGGCCAGGACGCCCAGCATGGCCGTGATCTTGAGCTTCTCCCTGCCCGGCGTCTTCACCAGGACAGGCTTCTCACCCTGGTTGTCGACGGTCACCCTGGACGGCACCTCCAAGCAGATGGGCGTCTCGTCCGCGTTGCCCATCTGCGCCACGTGGTAGTCGTGCGCCCTGCGCAGGGCCAGCACACTGCGCTGGTAGGTGACCAGTTTCTCGGTCAGGTCCTCGGGCAGATGCTGGGGCACGGGCACCTTGTGCCGCAGGGACAAGTCGTACCTTCTCATCATCCTCCGGCACCAGCCCAGGCTCGCCTTGAAGCCCTTCTCGGGGATATTCATCTCCTGGGCGATCTCCAGCGCCTTCAGCTGCATGGCCTCCCTGGTGATGGGGTCCCCCTTGGCCTGCATGTACCGCACATACTCGGCCACGCGCTGGTCCACGAGGGCGAACCTCCCGTTCTTGGGGCCGCGGAAGGCCCGCCGCATGGCGTGCGCGTTCTGGAGCTGCGGCTTGACCTTGCGCCAGTCCCGCACGTTCTTCTCGAGCACCCCGAACTGCTTGGCTGCCTGGCAGTTGTTGGTGCCCTCGGCGTACTCCACCACCATCAGCTTGAAGCCCGCGTCGTAGCTGCGACGCATGCCCCGGCTAAACTGGAACCTCCCCGCCAGGTCCTCGGCAGACAGGTCACACCCCGGGAAGCCCATGGCCATGTAGAAGGGGTACCCCTCGCTCCACTCGGGCAGCTCGGCCAGGCCTAGGCCGTCCAGGTGCTGGGGCTGAGGAAACTGTGCGTGGGGGTTCGCTGGGCCTGCCCAGTATGGAGGCTTCACGTCGGACTCCTCGTTTTCTGAGAGACAGAACAATGCCAGTGAGTGAGACAGCGTTTCCCAGAGCTTCCGGGTCAAAATGCTCCACCCGAGGTTCACCAAGACAGTGACTGACTCAGTAGGTCACAGTGCCTAAGTCCCACCCGGGGTCCACCAACCTCTCCAGGAACTGCACACCCTCTGCAAGAAGAGAGCTGTGGAGGAACTGACCTCCAAGCTTGGACTACATAATTTGGGGGCCACATGTAGGTAAAAATGTTTACGGCCAGGTGTGGTGGAACACACCTGTAGGCCCAGTGATTCTGGAGAATGAGGCAGGAGGAAGGCAGGTTTGAGGCCATCTCAAAATAAATACAAAGGACCTGGGATGTAGCTCAGTGGTATAGTGCACCTGGGTTCAATCCCTAATACCAAAAGGAAAAAAAAAGTCTATGTAGATGAGAAGATAAAGGTAACCCATACTACCACATGATATTACAGAGATTTAGGTGCACCCTGCACTGAATCATCTCCTTTGAATCAAGAAAACTACAACAAAAACCACATTAGTTAAGTTTATAAGGCAGAAAACTAGTTCTTGCACACCAATGTTAACACCGTGTTCCACTCACTGTGTGTCTGTATCTGGAAGGTGGCAGAAACTGAGTATGATCTGAGGAAATTAGTGTATTTCACCAAAACCCAAATGCCATACTGCAGGATGCATGACTACAAGCCATTAAAAGAAAAATAAAATGCCACTAATTGTAACTATCACATGCCATCAATTTTAAGGAGCATTTTAGAGTTGGTAGTGTTACAGGGGAAAACATGTCTTAGAATTGATGAATTACAACACTTTAAATTCTTACCTAGAGAAAAGCAAGACCACTTTGGTGTCTGGAAGGTATGTTATATTCATCCCACTGTGACCCCTTTCTCTCGACAAGGGATTAGGTGCTTCTCAGATACTTGCTCAGATGAGCACGGGAGCTGTCACTGCTTTTCCCACCAGTGGGAGACGGCAGTGCCAGACAAAGGCTCTGGAAGCTTGCTCCCCAGTTCCTAGTCTGCAGAGGCATCAGGTGTGCTGAGGGGTGGCTGGGCTTCCACGATGTGCCCTGGACCAAATGGCACACAAGCCCCATCCAGCTGCTCCCACATACGAGGCTGCACACCAAGTCTTATTTAGACCCACAAGAGACAAATGGGGAAACTGAGGCGCAAAGAGATGAAAGAAGCTGCCTAAAGCCAAAGCATTGGAAGGAGGAAGACCTTTAAACGCCAAAGCCCATAACCTTTGTGTCTCGCTCCTAAATACACCACGGAACATCCGTGGGGGCTGGAAACCCAGCTCCATGGGGCTCCCTTCAGACGATGGTGGAACTGGTCTACTTGTACCTGTGGAGGTTCCTCTTTGGAGCTGCCACTCATCAGAGTTATGGGACTCCTCTTCCCCTTCCAACCGAGTGATCATGTCTGGCTTAGGGAATGGGAATTCTGTTTGTAGAAAACAAAACAGACAACAGCTGTGTGTCACTGCCCCAGAGCAGTCCCCAAATAAGTACTTTGACTTAACCCCCTGTGCCTCCGCTACTTTGTGAAAGATGGGGAAGAGAGCTTGGTCATGTATGTAAAAAGTGTGACAGAAAAGAGGTCTGTCCAGGGGATGCTGGACCTCTCCAGGTGAGAGCTGGTCAGCAGCCACCAGGGAAGTGCAGCTGAAGAGCAGGCGACGTGCACCACCACTGTGAGCGAGCACACTGGGGAGGGCTCCAAAGGCCAAACTCTGATAGGAGGATGTGCCAGAGTCAGAGTGGGACAAGTCCCAAAATTTCTGAGGCTGACAGGATACCCACGAAGGCCTTGCTTCCTTTCTGGAGAACCAAGCACAGGCCCAGACCCATGGTGATGTTTCCAAAGCTAAGCCGCCTTTTTAAAACATGTGAATGCCTGCCTGGGTTGAACAAGGACTCAACAGGACTGCCGAGTGGGATGGACATAATATTCATATCATGTCTGAATCAAAACCAGGGGGTTAAATGGGCACTGGCAAGGAGGGGGAAGAATCCAAGCTCAGGACGCTGGGTACACCAGAGAAGAGAGACATGGACACAGTTCTCTGGGTGCAGAGCCTCTAGGCCACAAAGGAAAACAAAGCGTTACCCAGGGACAGGACGGTTTCATAATTCATCCTCATGACTTCCCGGTACAGGGCCTTTTGTTGCTCCGTCAAAACTTCCCACTCCTCATCGGAAAAATATATGGCCACCTCATCAAACAGGGCTGGTACCTGGAACATAAACAGGCCTTTCTCAGTGACGTGGGCGCATGCAGACATGGACTTTCTGGTCCCACAGGGTCCCCAGCCCTGCCTCACAGGCCAGGTCAGGCCCCCCTTGTCTGTGTTCATGCAGCTACTCAGCTACTGGGGGCAAGAGCACAGGCCCTCCCATGCCCACCCCAGTGGCCACCACCTCTTCAGTTCACAAACAAAGGAAGCAGCACCTTGAAAAGAAAACTACCTCCAGCCATCAGCAGGTTGGGGGACACTGGACGTCCTATCCTTATGCACTGTGAGAGCTGCCCACAGCCCACACACTCCATAGGTGGAGGCCAACCACACCAGAGCGTGCCCATCAGCACTCTCATCCCACCTGCACCTTCCTACCTCCCAAGGACCCTCAGACCAGCAGGAGGAGCTGGGTTTGCAAATTTAAATAGCATCCCCTCTTCCCACAGGATCTCTGGGGTTTTCCAGGATACTCCATTTTCAAGGCAGTAACCCTAGTGTTTGGTTTGGAACCCAAAGCAAGAGAGGAGCCAGTGAGAGGAGGAGCCCTGCTGGCTTCTGCAGCCCAGAGAGCTGGAGGAGGAGGAGGTGGCGGAGGAGGGAAAGGCAATTAGCACTTTGTTTCTGTAATGAGCTGCCAGAGCAGACTTCAGCTGGACACCTAGATCAGGTGGCAATGTCTTGTGCAGAGGGGACGATGCTCCGGTCCCCTGCAGGAGGGGTGCTCAGGGGCTATGGGCAGCCAAGCCACCAACCCCGTCCTTGTTTTTTTAATTGGTTTACTTTTCTTTTTACTACGTTTTTTCTCTCAGTCCTTAAAAACCCTACTCCCAAGCTCACCATATTCAGTGGTGGGAAATTACCAAACAGCTCGTTTCAAGCTGGTTGCTGTATTCCTGCCTCCAAAGCTATTCCCCAGAGCTGTCCCTGGGCCTGGGGACACTGTTTTCCCTCAGCCTGGAAAACCAGCTTTGTCAGGTGTCAGGCCATCAGTCACTCAGACACCCTGGCCTCCCTTTCTCCCCAGCACCTTCCACATACCAAACACTTATAAGCCCTGTGGCTGCTTCACTGATTTCTCCCAACAACCCTGAAAAGGAGCACAGATGCTCCAGTTAATGAAGGAGGAAAGAGGCTCAGAGTCCCGTTTCCAGGATAAAGTCACACAGCTAATAAACGGCCAGGCTGAGATCAGGACCCAGCACTGTGTGACTTCACTGTGGCTCTGTCTAGGGAGCCCAAAGCTGACTCCCTGGTGACTAGCCTCAACCTCTCTGCTCCAGATATGCTCAGCTGCCTGTGATCCCTGCCGCCTCCACACCTCTGCCCACTCCAACCTGGGCCTTGAGATCTCCTTGACCATCTTGGCCTGAGGAACACCCAGCCAGCTTCCTAGCCTCGGTCCTATCCATCCTGTTCCCCAGGCAGCCTGCTCATGTCCCCATGATACCCTGGGCTCAGCACCACGGAGGCCCTCAGCCCTGTTTGGCTTCCCTCATCTCTCTCTCCACTAAAACGGCGTTCTCTGCCGGCAGAGCCTGTGCGTACCCACTTTGCTTCTCTAAGCTGAGGACGCTTCCTGAAGCTAGCAGTCACTTAAAACGTGTTTCTGAATGAACGATCCAGGCAAATAATCTCTGGATTTCCCTTCTCTTGTTGTGCTTGGAACAGTTTCAAAGAATCATTAAGTTTTATCTGTCACAAAACTGAGCCAACTCTTAGGAGTAAGAATGGACAAAAATCTCTTAAGTGTGAAATAGTAGGAGGTAAAAATGGATTGGTCTCTGGGTTTTCTTGAGACTTCTTACTCAGTCTGGAAAGCCAGACATCCCAGGAATTTTCCACCCTACTCCCTCCCACTTCCCAGGCTCTTAAACATCTCTCCCTTTGGTCTATTCTCTCCCTGGGAGGCTTGAGATCTAGGCCATACCTATTTATAATCCCTTTCCTTTTGCTGATAAACCAGGACACAGCCTGGCTATGCAGGTCACCATGGAGGGTAACACATTCTAGGCCTCGGATACTGGTTGGGGAAGGCTAGAGGCTGGTGTGGGTCTGATGATGGGGCCTCGGAGGACCTTGGGGCAAGCCCAGGCTGTGCAGCACAGGCACAGTGCAGAGGCTCAGAAATCCCCCACGGCAGCCCTTTCACTCCAGAGGCCTTCTACCTGGTGAACACAGCAGAAGATAAACGGCAGCCTACGGCACACCCGAGGCCAGGCAGCTCTCCCGGGGACTGGCAGGCAGGGCCCACCCCCTGCTTGCTCCCTGCCCTCCAACTCTGCCTCTGGCCTGTGTTCACTGTCTTGCTCCTCCTGGAAAGTGGCATTCCAGCAGTTATCTCCAAGGGCTTCCACTGCCTTGGCTGCTGGGAAGTGTTTACACACTCACAGCCTTGCAACCACCCAGCAGCCACCTGGCAGAGCGGGGAGACCTGAGGGAGCCTGTGCCGTTTGCACGGCATGCCTGCTGTGCCAGGCCTGGTGCGGGGCACTCCCACGTACATAACAGCATCTCTCTGACAAGCAAGCCAGGGACCTGCGGATGCGGACCCCACTTACACGGTGAGGAGGCAGTGGTGTATCCAGAGCTGGATCAGCTCCGTCAGTCTGAGCACTGTAGCTGGAGAGCCAGCTTCCCTTGAAGAGATGCCTTAGACTCATTCCTCAGAGCTACTGAGGAGGGAGAGCTCACACTCCCCCAGGTCTCCTTCCTCTCCCTGCCTGGTTCGGAGCAGCTCCTGACTGCATAGAGCTTCTCTCTGAGGCCTTTGTCTGTGTACAAACCCCTGCCTTCCCTTGGCTGACTCCACCCATGACAAAGGCTGATTTCAACATACATTTTTTTCTCCTTGAAATTTATTTCTATTCTAATTTTCTGGAATTTTATAACAGAGCATAGTTCTTATGTTTGAATGGCCTTTACTGATCACTGTAACGTAATCCTCTATAGCCAAGATGTATATTTGAAGCACAGATTCAATTCTTTCCTTCCCTGACTTAATGCTCTGGAGCGGTGCTTCTCTACCTAACATGACTGACACTTTGGGCAGTAATTCTTCATTGTGCAGGAGGCTGTCCTGTGCACCGGGATGTGCAGATAGATCCTGGGCCTGGGTGCTGGTAGGATATCCCCCCTATCTTGAGTCAAGACAACCAGAAGTGTCTCCACTACTGCTAAGTGGCTTAGGGTGGGGAGGGGGCAAAACTTGAGCCTACTGCTCAAGACCAGGCCTTCTCTAGAAGCATCCTCCAGTCTGAATGAGGCCTTCCTGCGCCTGGCTGCTATAGTATCCTGAGCTCACCCCTACCACGCACTCTGTAGGCTGTCTACTACTTTAGGTTCACTTCCCTGTCTTGCTCATGAGATTAGAAACTCCATGGGTGTAAGGGTCTTGCCTTAACACCCAGCTCTGTGCAGTAACCACGGATGGGTGGTAGACTGCCTGGGGGCCACAGATGCCAAATCCCCAGCACCATCAAGCTGTCAGCTCCCTCTCCCGTCTCCTCTGGCGGTTCCTTCTTTCTCTGCCCAAGCAGGGACCTCACCTGGCTCTTTCCTCATTGCCCCAACACATTCAGATGCCTGCTTTGACTGAACCCATTTCCCACGGTCCTCCACTCATGGTTAGATGTTCTGGGCTGGCCAGTTTAGCCTTAAAACCCAGGGCTTCCACTGCCTTGAGGTCTCCTTCCTGGCCAAAGGCAGCTGACTCCTGCCTGGATCAGAACTGGGGAGGTGGGCCAAGAACAGTGATGAGGCCAAGGAGCATGGCCCCCACAGCCAGACCAGCTGACCAGACCCCGGTGTTCACTGTTTGTCTTTAGTTAGGCACAACATACATTCAGTAAGAGGTGCTCGTGTTAGGGGTATAGTTCAGGAGCCCTGTTATTTTATTTTATTTAGTTTTATTTATTTGTTAGTTGTAGTTGGACATAATATCTTTAATTATTTATTTATTTTTATGTGGTGCTGAGGATCAAACCCAGGGCTGCACCTGTACTAGGCAAGTGCTCTACCATTGAGCCACAACCCAAGGGGCCCTATTTTTAAAGAACAAATACCAGTGGACATGTACATCCTGAAGGCAAAAGCAAGACAGCTTTTCTATACTTTCGTTCCCTCGTGTGTCTGTGGGAGTGGACTGGACAATTGAAAGTGGCATGGCTCTGTGAACGGCCTCTTGTCGGACACTGGGATCTTATGTGTTATTGATATTGATAATGTTTATACACATCGGAAAGCTAAGCAGAAAAATATCATTGTGTTGCTTATTTAAAATGTTTACAATTCATGCCCAAATTCTAAGAAGTCCAGTAAATACTGTGAATAACTAGCTGGAACTCTGCTGTTTGCATTATCTCGCTTTTCTGTTTGCCTATGCTGAACTTCCCTCTTCCTGACTGCTTACCACTCCAGGCCCAGCAGAGGAGCAGCTCTCCCGGGTGAACTACTATATGTCTAGCCTTCCTGTGGAGCTCAACAACCAAGTCTTGCTCAGAATGGGTCCCTTCAGCCAGCAGTAAGTCAGCAAATGTCCATTTACTGCCCACAAGGTGCCTGGCCACAAGCTCGGTGCAGAGAAAGGGGGAGAGGAAGCCAAGGTCTGGACTCCTGAGACTCGCCACCTAATGACAGGCCTCGTGGCCTCCTCCCTCGGCACTGCCTTTTAGAGCTGCAGGGCTGTTTCCTCAGAAAAGCAAACACTCAGGGCTAGGCTACCTTTACTTCCCACGTCTGCTTGAGGAACCTGGCTCCTAGGCCTGTTCCTCACCCTGCATGTCACCATCTTACTCACCCATGCACCCTCTGAGCAGATTCTCACTCTCTGCATGTCTGTGGGGACATCCTCCAGTTCCCGGCTCTGGATCTCTTCTTCCTCTTGCTCTTCTTTCAGGGTCACATTGAGAGGGTAGGTGGTGGACTCCATATCTAAGGGCAAGATGCAGTTCAGACCATCAGGTGTCAGTGTGCACTCTCCGAGGCCCACAAGAGGAGGCTCAGCCCCTCCTTCCTCTTCAGCCCAAGTACTGCTCAGGCTAGAAGGAAGGCAGGGCGCAGGGTCAGGCCTGGGCAGGAAGGACTTCAGTGAAAACACCAGGAAGCTGGCAGGTGGCATATTTAATTCTGATAAGAGGGACTGTGGGCAGATAGCCTATCTGGCTGTTTCAAATATTTAAGAAAAGCTTTCTGTGACAGAGAGGCCAGACCGGTTGGTAGAGATGGCCGGGTGGAACCCAGGCCAGGGGTAAGTGTTCTGGGAAGGTTCTGAACACTAAACTGACAGGCAGAACTTTCCCCTACCCAGGGCTGCCCAGGCAGGGAACCATCACACAAGATGGGTGTTAATTTCTATACCTGAAGGTGTCTAGACACAGGGCACTTACTCACCTGGTGTGTATGTGCGCGTGTGTGTGTGTGTGCGCGCACGCGCGTGTACCAGAGACCAGTTAAGAAAGAAGGATGGTTGGCCCAGAATACCCATCATCTGGACTTTCCAATTTCCAAGGTTCCGTCCAAGAGCCAGTTCAGAAAACAGTCATTCTGCTTTAAGGGACTCTGCAATCCGGAGAGTCGGTGATACACAGTGAGGGGGACGCCTGGACGCCCAGGAGGGCGCAGGGCTCCGCTGGGCCCACCCGCCCCGGTCCGGCTGGCGGGCCGGTACAAAGCGCCCGCTCTGCCCTCTAGGGGCGCGGGCAATTCCTGGCGTGCAGTGAGTGTGCATCGCGGGCCACCTCCGCCCAGCCTTCCAAAGAAAGGGTCCTTCCGGAGTTCGCGCTCCTGCCTATCTCCAAGAGGACCCAGCGCGGGGGCGTCAGCGCCCACAGCCGGGCGGAACTTGGCGTCCTCCCCCCGGGCCGCTGGGGCGGGACGCGAGGGCTCCGCCCGGCGCGAGGGTGCGGGCGCGGCGGGCGCGGCGAGGCGAGGCCCTCCGCGCCCGCCGGGCCCGCGCTCGGCGTCCCGGGCGCGCCCGCCGGCCCTGCCCCGCGGCCCCGCGCACCTGCCGGCCGAGCCCGCGCCGCCCGCACCCGCGGCCCCAACAAAGGCGGCGGCGGCCCCGCTCGCCACGCCCGCCCGCCGCCCGCGCACTCACCGCCGCCGCAGGCCGGGCCGCCGGGGACGCGAGGGCCGCGGCCGCTGTCACGGCGCCATCCTGCCCGCCGCCGGCTTCCGTGCGCGCGGCCCCGCGGGAGGCAGCGCGGAGGACACGTGGTGGGCGGAGGGAGGGCCCGGCCGCAGCGGAGCGTGTTGGGAGGCGAGGGGAGGAGCGGCGGATGTCAGCAGGCCTGGCGGCGCCGGGACGCCGCCCGCGCCCACCTCCTCCCGCCGCTTCCGGCCGGCGGTGCGCGGCGAGCCCTGCGCGGTCCGCGGGGCCCCGTGCGGTCCCCCGGCGCGGGCCCCCGGCGCGCGGGCGAGAGCGGCGGCCTGTCCCCGCCGAGCGCGCTCCTTCGCGTCCCCCGGGACGTGCACTTTCTGGGCGACCGCCCGCCGCTCGCGCGGAGCCCCCGCAGTGCGCTGCGGAGGCCGGAGCTGCGCGGAGGCCCGGGCCCTTGGGCCACCGGGGAGCGTCCCTGTCCCCGCAGGCTTGTTCCCGCCTCGCTTCTCGGAACGCGCGCCTCTGGTTGCCTTGTCCCCTGCCAGATCCCAAGCCTAGAACCCCGTGGACGAAGTCCTTGTGCGTGGACGCCCTTGCCTCTGAGTGCTCGGAGGAGTCCTTGCTGGCGACTCCGTGGCCCACATAACCAGCGACCCAGAAAGCGCGCACTCCTCAAAAAGACTCTGGGTTTGGATTTTCGTTGGCAACTTAAGAAATAATGACTTTGGCATTTATTAAAACAGTAGGAAGGACTTCATTCAGAGAGAAATGGTATGCAACACGGAATACAGCACCGGAGGCTGGAGCTTTATAGTCAATGAGTAGAACAAGGGAGTGTGTGGGGTCAGTAGATGGGAATCACCAGGTCGTCCAAGGGGGATTTTTTGCTAAACCGATTGAACAGGATTGTTGCTGAAGGCAGGCCAGTGTGGCGGGAGGTGAGGTATTTGGTCAGAGATGACGGGTGATCGACCCCAAGATGGGGATGCTTTCTGAATCAGCTTTGCAGGATTCTTCCTAAAACTAGGCTGGTCAGTGAGAAGGTTGGGACGGGGGTCAAGGAGTGAAGCCAGAATTTGACAGCTGTCGGTATAGACAGATAAAAGACTGCTCCCTGAGGGAGTGAAATCCCTTGAGAGCCCTTCCTCCTCTCTTCCTCCTCCTCCATCCCCTGCTCCAACCTGTTGCTAAGGTAATCAGTGTGTGTGTGGGGGAATGTCCCTCCCTACCTTGAGTTGTAAAAGTCGTTAATTAATATGTCCTGGGCCTGCCCTTCCCCCCTTCCCCCTTCAGCCCACCTGTTTCCCACGTTTTGGCCACCCCACGGAGGTCACCTATGTAGGAAGGAGAAAGAGAAAGGGAAGAGAGCTGGAGAACAAAGGAAGCCTAAGACATCAAAAAGGCGGAACACCTTCCTGGGTACCAGGACACCAGCTATGGCCCTTCTCCCTCCTGGGAGAGGTCTGTTGCCCTTATTAAATAAACCTGCTTCATAGGCTTCCTCAGCTGCTTCTCTAATGCTAGACTTCAACATGTGGGGAAGCAGGAGTACATCTTTGTCACTTTTAGGAATATTCTGAGACCTGCCTACCTTCTGGAAATGTTACAAAATTGGGACCTTCTGGGAAACTGGGGGAGCATGAAGATCGCCCCCCCCATTCCAACCCAGTTCTTAAATCAGAAGGATTTCAAAATGTCACTCAGAGTAACAGGCATGAGTTTATTGAAGGGACAGGAAAAGGGAGTGGGGACACACTCAAGGGGGAGACTGGGTCCTTCCTCTCAGAAAAGAAGGAACAAGGAGCTTCTTCACTCCATTTTTATTGGGGATCCCAGAGAAATATCCAGAGATTCCTGCTCAGGTCCACCTCTTGACTTTTTTTAAAATTTTATTTTAATTTTTTAGTTGTAGATGGACATAATACCTTTATTTTATGTACTTATTTTTATGTGGTGCTGAGGATCAAACCCAGTGCCTTACATTTGCTAGGCAACAAATGAGCCACAACCCCAGCCCCTCCTCTTGACTTTTGACTGACAGTAGGATGGCATCACACTTTCAAGTCCCCACTGCCATGATTAACTCTGGGTCACCTTGGCCTATGCTGACCATGGTCAGCATGGTTTATGATTCTTAACCATAAATTTTTACAGATTTTATGATTAAGAGGAATTATCTTTATCTCCCTAAGTTTTGGGATCTGGTCCATAAAAAGGGTCACTGAAGTGTCCACCTTCAGTCTAACTTGTATTCCTCTTATGGACATTATCTTCATTTCTCCTGCAGATAACGGGTAGTTTGCTGAGGAATGTGACATCTGTCCACTTAGGCTAGGCAGGGGTGCAGGTAAATTGCTTCTTGGAAAAGAAAGCATGTGGGGGTTACACAGTGGGCCCATTTTACAGAATTGCTCCCTTAATCTCATGTCTATCTCAAGTCTATGCGCTATCAGGAAGATCTTTTAAATCTTCACATTTTTGTTTATATGTGGATTTAGGAGAGGCTCCTGCGGAGGCTTGCTCTCAATCCATAAACTATAGAATAAACTGCATCAGACACATCTTCCAAGTGGTGTAACTGCTGCCGCCCAGGCCAGAGAAGGCCTAATGGTTGGCTGGAGACTTCAGGTATTGGGAGAAGAGGTTAGGATTTGTATAGGTTTAAATGAATATTTCCTTTTTTGTGTGTAGTTTTAGTATTTTTTGAGCAGGTGCAACAGCTTAACTCAATGTTCCCATCTTTTCTGAGGAAACAGAAATGTTTCAAACGGAAAAGCGGGAAGGGCATCAGGAAGGGGAACTGTTGGGGATGAGGTCTGCGCCTCAACTTCTTTAAAAGCTCAACTTCTGAGAAAGGTTCTGATGTAATCAGAGGACAACATGGTGTTAGGATTTCAGTCCCTGAGAGCCTGCATGTCCTTTGACCAGGTGCCCCTGGGAAGACCTGTGGCCCACAGCCCCCTGGTCTCAGCACCTGTCTCAGGACCCTTCTTCCACAGGTGTATACTTTGCTAAGCAGACTTACTCTGGGAGCAAAGTGCTGGTGTAGGCCCAGCACACTGCAGACCTCATCAAGTGGTTTTGTGAATCTCGTCACTTCTCTGCTTGGATTCCTCCATCTGCTGAAAGAGTTGAGCTGCCTACCCTCCAAGGTCCCCCCACTCTTACTCAGCAGTGCATCTTCTTAGGCTTCATCTCTGATCTGGAATGACAGAAGCAAGGCTTTGAGACAGTGCACGGCTTTATGAGTCAACAGGATGGGTTTCTGGTGGCAGGTGGTTGACAACGTCAGCAGAACACCTGCATAATCAACATGACAGTCCTTCAGTGACCTACTGTCTGACCTCATCCTTTCTCCTAGTGAATTACTGCAGGACACCAGGGGTTCCAAAGAGCTCCAGGTCCCACACAATACTCCTTTTGAACTCCTGTGTCCTCTGGCAAACACACATTCCGACTTCCAGGGCAGAGCTCTGGGGCTTCGGTGCACGTTCCTCCATGTTCGAGGCCGGTGGTAGATTCTGCAGCCTCCACAGGCTCTGTCCCTGCAGCAGTGTTATCCACCACGTCCTTGCCGAGGCAGCCTGTGCAGAAAGTACTTGGCTGGCCACGTGAGGTCCTTTGGCCAGTGGAGTGTGGGTGGAAGTAGCTGTGTGGTCCAGGACGTCCTGAGAGTTTCATGTGTCCACCTGCACCTCTCGAGCTTTGGACCTTGGCCATGGCAAAAAGCTTGGAGGGTAGTCATGGCCTTTGTCCTTGGGGCCAGAATGAGACACCTGTGATGAGCTGCCTTGGTCAATGTGAAGGCAGTGACCATGAGGAGGGGTCATTGCTGTTTTAAGCCACTGCAGGATGGCATAGCATTTTTGTGGCCTTAGCTAATTGAGACAGGGACAAAGGGCTTAGACTAAAGTGTTTCAGTGTTGACCCTTATGAGGATGCTCATTTCATGGCAGGTATCCTTAGGTGTGTGGACAGGAGGTGCTGGATGGGGAGGGAAGGAGGGGAGGAACAGATGGGGAAAGAGTCATTGCTGACCGTGTCCTCATCCCTGGAATTCTGGCACTTCAGAGGGGAGGAAAATGTGAATTTAATAAAACTGCAAGATATTTTGGGAGATCTTATGGTGGCAGGATGGAAAGGGAAGCCCTGCTCTGGTATTTCTTAGGGCTTAGCAGTTCCGGGGGAGGAGGCTTGTGGTTAGAGCACACCAGAAGGTTCAGGAGCTCCAACTGTTTTAAGTCTCCACCTCAACCCAGGGCCTTGTAGTTTTTTCATCTACCAAGGACAAAGGGAAAAGAGAAACAGGTAGCCTTGTTCTTGGCTCTGCAGGGACACATATCTCTTCTGCTCATGTTTTGATGGTTAGGATCAGTTACATCCACACTATAAGGACACTGCCTGTCGGACAGTTGTTTTCTAGTGACGGTTCCATACATGGAAAGGGGGACAGGCTGAATTTTTCCTGCCACAAGGGTGCTCTTCTCAACGATTTAAACATCTCCACTCTTCTGTCACTCTGCTTGCAAGGTTTCTGAAGAGATGTGCTGCCCCCGTCACTCGTGTGAATTTCCAGGGACACCAAATAAAACACAGACACCACTTTACCTTTAAACAATCTTCAGGGCGACTTCTCTGCTCTGGGCCTCAGGCTCCCCGTGGGAGAGCAAGGGAAAGTCACGAGAGGCTGGCGCGAGAGCGAGCGCCTTCGGAAGTGGGCTTTCATTGGGGGGACCCTTGTCTTAGAAAGTTCCATCTAAAAAAGTCCAGAAGGAGCAGGCTTACAAGGTCGGGTGAGTGTAATTCAGCCCGAGGGGCGTCGCCGACACCTGAAGACACTTCTGTGATGTACTTTTTGGAATTTCCTCACTGTTTTGCTTTCCCATTTGGAAGTTTCTGTTGACATACTTCAGCTACGGAGGTGCAGTCAGTCGATGGTGTGGAAAGTTCTCCACTGCTGTGACAGTGTTCAAGACTGTCCCTGAGACCCCCTCTCGGGACATCACCACCTCTTCTTGCGTGGGGCTCCCTCTTGCCGCAGGAGCCCTGAGCACACCACTCATGGCTACTTCAACTCTCAGACTTGATGACCCCAGATCCTGCCAGGTCTGAGTCTAGTTCTGATACTTGTCTTTTCTCTCCAGCTGCGTTTCTTGCCTTTGATTTTTTGCCATTTCTCAGGTGAGGTGCCCAGGTCACCTGTTGGGCAGGAGCTGGCTGCTGGCTGTAGCTCTGGGGCCAGGGCTAGAGCTCCCTCGGTTGCCTCCCTCTGCTCTGGCCCCTCTCCCGCCATTGTCTTCGATGTCTAGAGACTCTCTTTTTTTAAGTGTGTTTTTTCCTCCCCTTTTTTATTGGTGCGTTATAGTCATGCGTAACGTTGGGATTTGATGTCACACATCGGTACATGCACACAATATGACAATTTGGCCAAAAAAGACCCTTCCTTAAGTCAGGCTTGCAGTTCTTTGAGAGGCAAGTCCCTGTGACTACACAGGAGCCTGATGACAGGCCACTAAGGTTTCAGAGAGGGAAGACGTCTGTAGTCCTGTGAGTAGGTCCCAGTCCTAGTGGGCTTGTGACCCTGGGCTGTGGCCTTCACAGGAGCCTCTCACCCTCCTCCTGTTCCCCGTAAGTGGGCCAGGATGAGGGCTGGAGTGGCTTTTTTCCCTTCCCCACTGAAAGGCTGTGGAAGGCCCAGGCTGGGACTCCCCTTGAGGGTGGCCTTTACTGAAGATTGCTCTGGGCATCTTTCTGACCGACCCTGTCTCTTTCCTGTTGGGAGAGGCCTGAGGGGATTTTTTTCTGATCTTTACCCTGAGAACCTGGAGGGGTTCCTGGAGGAAGAACTCAGGACAGTTGGGGTGCTCTTCCCAGTGTTCCCTGGACTGCTCCCCCCTCTGGTGTCAGCTGAGGTACTACTGGGAGGTGACTGGACTTTGGGGGCAGGGTCGGGTTGGAGAGGGTGGGTCCCTGGGGATGTGGCCTGGAAGGTACTCCTTGTCCTGACCCTGGCTCTCCTGCTTTCCTTTCTGCTTCCTGGTCACCAGGAGCCAGCCTTGCTCTGCCACGCACCCCTCCACAGGCTCTGGCTCACCACAGGCCCAGACACAAGAGTCGAGTGACGGGGATGGAACTCAGGGACCATGGGCCAAGCCAGCATTTCCTCCTTGAGCTTGACCTCTCTCCGGTAGCTTGCCACAGAGATGGAGAGCCCACCAGCGCAGGCCCCTGGAGTTCTGGTGTCCAGCCGGTCCACGCTCAGGCCTCAGAGCTTCGCCCTGTAGGGTCCCGCGTGGCTGGGCTCCCAGTGGGCTACAGTTGTGACCCGTGCAGCTCCTCTCGGGGTGGGGGGAGTCCTTTTGTCCTGCAGCCTCCGTTCCTGGTGGGCCTGAGGCCTGCCCGTTCTCAGAGTCTGGCCTTTGGAGGATGGGGGCAGTGATTTTCCCGGCCCTCCCCATCAGAGCATGGGGCGCTTCACAGCGAAGTTGTCAGAAGAGCAGA